CACATGCTCCTAAAAGGACTGATAAACACTGCCTAGCAGTAATAGTTACAAACAAACCAGTAAGCCCTTATTATACAGGTTGACCTCAGAAGCCATTCACAGAGTACTTTCAAAGTTCACAGGCATAATCAATTGGTGTTGTATTTTCTGAGTATTCAAAGTCATTAAGCAGAAGGGGATAAAAAAGGAAATCCCATTATCCAATACCAGGCTCTTCTTCTAACTAGTTCTGTCCAAAGATTTATACTTTAAATTCCTTGTAAGTGCGGTAGCTTACTCTCCTGATCAAGGCAGCAATACTTTCATGTTTGTTCTCAGAACTGGTGCCATTTCTTTCTCTCCTGTATGTCAGCACCATCTTTGTCTTTTTATTTCTCAAGCCTCTCTACTCAGTTCCTTGAGGAACAAAAAAAAATTTTTTTTAATGTTTATTTATTTTTGAGAGACAGAGAGAGAGAGCAGGGGAGGGGCAGAGAGAGGGAAGCACAGAATCTGAAGCAGGCTCCAGGCTCTGAGCTGTCAACACAGAGCCTAATATGGGGATTGAACTCATGAACTGCAAGATCATGACCTAAGCTAAAGTTGGATGCTTAACTGATTGAGCCATCCAGGTGCCCAAGATTCTTGAACCCAAGATTCTTGAACAGAGGTTCTGCAAATAGTATTAAAGTAAACAGCATTAAAATGAGGGGCATGCTATATCCCAGTACACAGATTTTTGTGAGTAAATGTAAATGTGCCATCTTAAATATTGCTTTGTATTAAGAGTTTTGGACCTTTATAAGAGGGGTTCAGAGCCTGTGCATAGACAATAGACAACCCGGACCCAGTAAGATCCAGCGATAAAAAGCTGGTTGTCCTTGGGCTAAATGCAGGCAGCAAATGTGTCTTGCTGGCCCATAGCATGTTTGTAAACAATGTGAACCAATTCAAGAATCCAATTTCACATCAAAATGGAAAGATATGGAAATACAAAAATGCCATTCTTACTTTCGTTTAGAACTAATAGCTGTCCCTTTAAAATGTATGAAAGCTTTCCAGTTTTCCTCCACTCAACTTTTTAAATTTATTTGAAAGAGAGACAGAGAGAAAGAATGAGTGGGGAAGGGACAGAGAAAGAAGGAGAGAGAGAATCCCAAGCATGTTCCAACCTCAGCATAAAGCCTGATGCAGAGCTTGACCACATGGTTCCTGGGACTGAACCCTACATCAGGCTCTGGGTTGACAGTGCAGTGAGATCATGACCTGAACTGAAATCAAGAGTCAGATGCTCAACTGACTGAGCCACCCAGGTGCCCCTCTAGCAAAAGTTTCTAAAATCCTTAGAATTTCCAAAGTGATGAAAGCCAAAAGGTATCTTTTGTTAGGTTAAAGAGGTGACCTTCGGATCACACCTAAGGCTTGGTGCTGGTTGCTTGGAGAACCAAACATGTGATTAAAGGATTGGAACTTTAGGTTCTATCCTCCTGACTTCCTGACAGACTGGGACTACAGATTGAACCAATTACCAACAGCCAATGATTTAATCAACCCTGCCTATGTAATAAAGCCTCCATAAAAATCCAAAAGCACTAGGTTCTGACAGCTTCCAGGTAGGGAACATATGGAGGTGCTGTGAGATTGCCATGACTGGAGAGGGGTATGGGAGCTCTGTACCCTTTCCCCAGAACCTGTCTTACTCATCTTTTCCATCTGGTTGTTCCCAAGTTATATCCTTTTATAATAAATTAGTTATCTAGTATGTAAATGGGTTTCCTAAGTTCTGTGGGCTGTTCTAACAAATTAATCAACCATTGGGGAGGTTGTGGGTTTCAGTTGGTCAGAAGCGTTGGTATCAGCTGGGGCTTATGATTGGCATCTGAAGTGAAGGGCAATCTTTTGGGACTGAGATCTTACCCTGTAGAATCTGATGCTATCTCTAGGTAGGTAATATCAGAATTGTATTAAGTTGAATTCTCCAACATTCTGTTGGTGTACAAGAATTGCTTGTTGGTGTGGGAACTCACTCCACTGCACACACACATATTGGAACTGAGTCCAGAACCCAAAATAATGGGCCATAATTAAAACGCAATATTAATTTCTGTCTCCCACTGCCCTTTAAATTTTATTCCATGGGGATAATCTTCCCTTGACCCTGAAATTCACAACATGGCATCTACTCTCCTAAGAAATCTCTTCCCAAGTCATTCTTCTCACCCAATTAGATCCTATAAGAATATAGTTCTTACTTTTTCTTTGCATGTTATATATATGAATGATTATCTCATATTTATTGTGATGTTAGGTATCTCTAGTATAGGTGCCACAAGCAAAACCAAGGCAGGAATAATGCTAATTTAGTATCGTATTTTACATGTATCATCTCATCAAACCACTCAATAATATTACCATGTGGATATTCTTATTCCCATCATGCCAATTAGAAAACTAGGACATATGAAGATTAAGTAACTTGTGCAGAGTCACAGGAAACTACAATTATCATGGCTGGTTCCCTAGATAGTCTTTAGTAAACTATAGTGGCGTTTGGTAACAGAAGCATTCATTAATAGGTCCTGCAGAGAGCAGAATTTCTAATTCATTTTAGGAAAATGTCTACGCTACCTTGATAGAAAAAAAAAGTATGCTTTTTATAGTTATTGTTTCATTTGGTCAACACTGAGTTGGGATTGGTTGAAATACTAGAATAAGATAACTATTTTGATTGGAGTTTACTTTCAAGACATTTACTGAAGATGAGATTAATTATCAGAGAAAACAGAGTTGTCTGAATCAGATAAATGCACACGTGATGTCCCTGTGTTCCCAGAAGAAGAGATTTAACCTCAACTTCAGAAGTGTGTAGTCAATGAACATCCCCAGAATAATTCCTAAGGAGGGAAGACAGTATGCAGAAGCAGTAAGTTCCTTACATTATACCAGTTCCATCCTTCCAATTACCCATGCTACTTGTCATTTTTTTTCTTTCATAATCTGTTGGTATTGTGAGATTCAATTCTGACTGATTCTATGGCCACTGTGACTTAAAACACATATTCAGAAAGAGCTGATGTAGAGTTCTTTAAGAAATGGGAAAATATATACATATATACATAAACATATCCATTAAGAGCTATCTGCACACCAAATAAGCACACCCAGTTACATTTTTATTTAATAATTTATTATTTCAGGGGATAAAAATATGTGTTCACAAAACAATATTAGGGCACAGAGGCAACAAGAGTATACTCACCATGTGACTTTTAAAAAGACCATATACGTTATGTATAAGTGTATCCATACTGACTTATAAGTCAAACATAAATCATCAGAAGGTGTCTTAAAGGAGCCAAATGATCCCATATACATAGAACATTTTAAATTCTGTCTCCCACTGCCTTTTAAATTTTATTCTATGGGAACAGTCTTCCCTTGATCCTGAAACTTACAACATGGCATCCACATTATGCTACATAATCTCTTCCAAAATCACTGTCCAAAGACAGCTATTTTAACTTGAGTGCAGTATTTATGACAGAATAAGCTTTCCTAATTGTTCCCAAATACATATATCCATTCATCCATCCATCCATCCACCTATCTATATATTTATCTAGACAAATAGATGAATAGATCGATACATCTGTTTGTATATGCATATCTGTATCTATATTTGTATCTATCTATCTACATGTAGACAGAGAGAGAAAAGAGACAGAGGACATAGAAGGGGAGAGGACACAGCCATGCAGTTTGAAGACAGAAAAGATGAGAAGGTAAAGTTAACATTTCTATAAATGTGTAATATTTAGCATATAATTTAGCAACTATAAGACAAGCCAAAAAACTGCAAACACAGTCACCTCAAAATATAACTAAGAAGCACTACAAGGATGATTACCACCACCATCAAATTTTGGACTATAGCCAATTTAAATCTGAGTGAACAGCAGCAGAATGATGTGAATCTTCAAATCAAACACATAACTTCAGCATTAAACTGAAATATTTTCTAGACCAGCATTATGTTATCTAAAGGAACCTTCCATGATGACTGCTCCTGAGCACTTGAAATGTGGCTTAGTGCGACTAGGGAACTGAATTTTTAAGTTTATTTAATTGTAATTAATTTAAATGGCTACATGTGGCTATGGTATTATACACAGTGCAGAACACAAAAGAAAAAAAAAAAGTCAGCTCATCACACAACACTGTGTAATGTTTTATAGGGGCTCCTGGGTGGCTCAGTCAATTAAGCAACCAACTCTTCATTTTGGCTCGGGCCATGATGTCACCTGTTTATCAGTTCGAGCCCTGCATGGGGCTCTATGCTGACAACACGGAGCCTACTTGGGATTCTGGATCTCTCTCTCTCTCTCTCTCTCAAATAAATAAGCATTTTTAAAAAATTGGTATATTCTCCTTTAACAGAGAAGAGTTTTGGCTTCCAGAAAAGAAGCTTTTTCTCCCTAGACAAATACACCCTGAAATAATAAGTTAACACAAGACTGCGTACTGAATTTCCCAGAATGACAAGAACCCAAGTCATTAAGAACTCTTGTAACCCAAATTTGAAGCTTATGATTATGTTTCAAAATCCTACCAAAAAGGAACAAAGGAAGCAAGCAAGCTAAACCCTTCTATTCTAGTCCCCGTGAAGCTATGTCTGTGAGCACTCCCAGTCGCACTTTTCCCTCCACTTCTACGGAAATATGGAGCTATAACTGACATACAACTTCATATTAAGTTTAAGGTAAACCGCACAATGTGACATACACAGTGAGAAATGATTACCAAAGTAAGTTTAGTAATCTTCTCATCTAGCAAGAAGTTTTGTTTTGCCCTCCTGATGAGTCTGGAATCTAGTCTCAGCAACCTTCTAACATACCACACAGCAGTGTTACACAGTGACTACGACGCACGTTTCAAGGCACCTGAAACTTTCTACCTGGGCACGCGCGCGCCTCCGAGCCCCAAACACATCCGCGCTCGTGGTCCACGCGGGCCGCCCTTACCTTTCTCGCTGACACTCTCGCTCTCCAGCTCCACATCCTCGCAGCTGGTGTACTCCGGCGTGGACACGCCCTCCTCCTCGGAGCTGCTCACGGACATCTGCCGCTTCTTGCCACCTCTCTTGGACCGGTGTGGCTTGGGCGGGGAAGGCCGCACGGACTCAGACTGATCAGAGCTCAAGGAGTCGTTCCGCAGCATGGTCTCCACCTTCTCGCGCTTGGACTTCCTGATGAGGACTGCCGAGCTGGGGTCCAGGCGGCTCTGCTTCCTGAGGGGCTCCTGGGCTTTGGGCTCCAGGGCTTCTGCGGGGACTGGCCCATGCCTGGGCGCGGGGGGGCTGTGGTTCGTCAGCTGCTTGGCGCCCGGCGTCCTGACTTCCGCAGTCCTCTCGGCCGAGTAGGCCCGCGGCGAGTCCGGCGGAGAAGCTCTGGCGGCGGCCGCAGCGCGCTTGCCGGCCTTGGCGTCGGGCGGCGCGGCGCCGGCCTCGGTGCGCGGCAGCGCCACGTCGCTGTGGCGCCGCTCGTGCCGAGCGCGGGACACCCGGGCGTGCATGCGCATCTGCTGCTCCTCCGGCGGCGGCTTCACCGGGTACCGCGCCAGATTCGGGTCGCTGCGGTACCTGGTCTGGTACTCCTCCTCTTTCCTTTGCTTCTCATCGTCCACCGCTTTGCGGTCCTCTCGTTTCTCGGGCACGTCTGTGTAGTCCTGTGACCGCCCTTTCTCAAGCCGTCGGCTTTCCCGCCTTTCTTTCCGCTCGCGTTCTTCCACGGCCCCGTCTCCCGGCTGCGCTGAGGACTTTGGCACGCGCTTGCGCTCGCTCTTCTGGGCTCCTTTGCCATTCTGCTCAGAGAGCCCTGGAGTCTTCTTCCTGTGATTCACAAAGGAACGTCAAGAAGAAAAAGCAATGTGTAAAGCTAGAAATAAAGACCAGAGCTAAGAAACTTCATTTCTTCACGTTCCGTTTAAAGCCTTTCAAATGATTCGTTATAATCTGATGTCTAATTCAGCGATTTGACATCAAGAACCACATTAAACCTGTGTATCTGATTAGCTTTCTAAATAAAGTCCCCTTACATTACCAGCAGCCCAAGGAACTTTGAAAGTTGTTTTCACAGCTAAAATTCCCTATAAATTAGATAAATGAAAACCACCAGTAAATTAATAAATGGACACATCTTATGCTAACTTCTGCTTGTGAACGACTTATGTTCACATGTTTTAGATGTTTTAGATGAATCTAAGATATGAAAATATTGTAGCAAAAGAGAATAGATATCAGTTCAATTCTAAATACAGATACTTGATATACATCTGGACAATACATATCGGCAATCTTTTATTATAATAGAAGCTTTTAAAGAAATGTAAATACAAGTATATCCATTCTTTAATAGTAGAAAAAAGTAATTTAAAAAGCTTATGGTGCACCCAAACATTTAAGGGAGTTGGTTAAGAAAAAAATGGCAGAACTTTAGTCTTCATTTCACCTTCCTTATACCTTCCTTGGGCAATAGCAGTATTGAAATGTTTCAAATTATTATTTAGTTTTCCTCTTTCCCTCCTCCTCTTCCTTTCCCTCTCTCACATTTCAGAACACAGTCCAAAAACAAAACAAACCAAAACAAAACCCAAAACGGTTTTGTTTCTACTTTTCTCTCCATCCCATTTAAGGTACTGTCAAAGATGAAAGGAAAAGAGTTTGGCAATCTTTGAATCTTGTAGATATATCATTCAGTTGTGCCTCTCAGCCCTTTTTTATACACTGGAGTGCACCTAATTTGGGAAAGTTCCAGCAACTATACCTGAATTTACAAATAGCAAGTATACTATACAGTATACTATGCAATTAAAGTGGGAACAATCTAAGGCTTTTTTTAAACCCTGAGTCCCACAGAGGGCTTTCCAGAGGAAACATCTTTTGACTGCAAGTCCAAATGCAGATGTCACGCCTAAAAATCACTACAAGATGAGAAAACGGGCAATTTCTATTGTGGGTTACAAAGTAGTAGTTACAACGATATGCTGTGGGGTCAGTTTGAGGAGGGGCTAGTAGTAGTGGAAAGAAAGGGTAAATGGTTTCAAATGGCATAGGTAAGCAAAATAGCATGGCAAATTCTGCTGAAGACATTTCGTGCACATTGCTTTTTTGAAGTGAAAGAGATTGTATTTTCATCAGAGGGTGGAACTGCAAGGGTGCCATTGCAGTTTTACAATGTAAGGAGTCTAATAGGAACATATATTAATTATCAAATACAGTTTTCATACAAGTGTGATGATTGTACTGCAGCCATTTAGTAGCTCATTAAGGCATCGCTGATCTTGTTAGAAGTTTATATTGAATAAATTTATTTTCCTTGAAATGCTGATAAATAATGCTTACCTTGCAAAGTTCACATGAGCATTAAAGGAGAGACCATCCATGAAAGTGCTTTATGGAAAGTGCTTTATACAGAGTGTCATGAAAATGGAAGGAGTTCAGCAGTCTCTCTGATCTTTGCTTTCCCGAGTGTGCCTTTCCAGACCTCTACCTCTAATTACTCCATTTCTACTAACTCCTGATGAAGAATTCTTCAATAATTTTAAACACACCTCCCGCCATTCTTTTGGTCTTAACTGTCTCCCTGAAGTTGCCACCCATCTCTCCTTTTCCTTCTGTACCTCCAATGTCCTCAGTAGTTTTTTATGTATTTATATCATCAGAAGTAATTTATATAGTCAGTAATAGTATTTGTCTCTATCAATCTTCTTCAAATTTAATTTAAAAAGTTAAAACAAAAAGTTGCTTCTCAGTTCTTATTCTTGAATTCTTTGTAGTTTTTTTTAACCATATGTCAAAAACAGGATTCATATCTCCCCTTTAGAAACTTTACAGCTCCAAATTCTCTTACTTACAGGTATCACTTTCTGACCAATCCAAAATTGCACTTTTAATATTTTTGTCTCTTTTTAACCTACAATAGTTTGTCACCAAAAGCTATCCATTATTCCTTCACTGAAGTATCTCTAGGGTCCTTTGTGTGTTCTCTCCATATAGTTTAGGTACATTCATTCTCTCTTTCTGAAATGCCCTCTCGTAACCTGTCTACCTACCCTATAACTCCTGGGTATCCTGGAAGGCTTAATTCAGAAGACAGCTCCTCTCTTCTGTGGCTCCCAAAGTATTACATGTATCTTCTAGCTTTGATCAAATGAGCTTTCCGGTACAGTTAATTGCCCAGGTGTCTGTCTTCCCTAGGACAGTCTGTAGTGTCTTCCCTGGGATATGTCAAAAAAGGGACCATGTCCTAATCATCTTTATAATCTGGTTCCTGGCACAGTGTTTGTTTATAGTATACACATGGCTACTGGATTGATTAATAACTACATTCAATGAATGTGAGGTACTCCAACTACTAATCTCATGATGAACAGGGCTATCTATGTCCTCCTTGTTAACACTGTCTCCCAGTGTGTAGCATCCTGTCTCATTGTAAATGCATTGTTTGAATGAAGGAATGAATCAATTAAAATAAGTTATCTGATTATGTTATCCCATGCATAAAGCCCCCAGTAGCTTTCCATTATTCCTAGAATAAAATCTAATTTGGCCAATAGGCCCACTATGCCTTAGTCCCTGATACCTAATCAGCCACTTCTTTCCCACTTTACTCTGCCCTCCCTCTCTGCAACTCACACTCCTGGCAGTGGGCATCCGTTATGTTCTCGCATGAGAACTTGTTTCTTTAGGCCACATGCCTGTGCATATATTACCTGGAGTACTCATTCCATTCTTCACCTGGTTAATTCCTAGTCACTTGTCAGAACCCAGCATAAAAGAAATGCCCTCCAAGAAGGCTTTGCTAAGAAAACTGTGTATCCTCCACTGTGTCAGGTCATAGTCTCTTGGAGCACACTTTCAATTAAAGTGCTAATTCTCTAAGTGAATAAATGGTCTCAGAGCTTTTCTGAGTTCAAGGTTGAAATTGACTTGTTCGCATCTGTGCATGTTAGGAAAGAAACGCTTTTCAAGAAAGGTCTCCTAAGGAATGATACATTCTAGAGGTAAACAAACACCTCAGGGCTGTTGCCTTCCAAGTGGGGCCTGAGAAGTACTACTTCCACATATTCCTCTTAATAGCAGTAAAGCCCCTGAAAATAGGTTTGCTCTCAATACAACACCTTGTCTTTTGCTTACAGGGTTAGTGAACTATTACCTCTCTCTTGGAGGTTCACTTCTAGACCTGGATGAAACCTGCTTCTGTTCGGGCCCCACGGCTTGTTGTGAGGACTCCACCCCTTTGCTCCTCTCTGGCTGTGCGATGGGAGGAGCTGTGTCCTGGGAGGAGGCAGCTGCTGTGCTCAGGGGTGTCTGAGACCGTGATCGCTCTTGGAGCCGTGCTTTCTTTTCTCTCGGTACCTCAGAACCAGCGCCTGTAGCTGTATCACTTAGGGTTCCATCCTGACTTGGCTGCTGAGGGCCACTTCCAAAGAACCACGCCCCAGATTTGGTTAAGATTTCTTGTTGCTTTCGACATAAATTGCATACCCACATAACCTATTTGAAGAAGAGAGAACAATATAAATTTTCTATGCCATTTGGAAATGATATATCTTTATCACATTAAAACATCTTTTAAGGAGAAGAATGGTTGTCATCTTTATACTTATCCTTGCAAATTTTTTGTGAAAATGATCCTTGCACAAGTCAAGTACATGAATGCCTAGACTGATACCCATCTGAAACCACAGCACCTCTAGGTTGCCAGAGTAGGTTTTTGTCTTGGTGTCGTAACCCTGTGATGCTGATTTTCCTTTTACCATGTATCCATCACATTTCCTATGACTGACTCTGAAGTTTCATTTAAAATATCTGTTAGTGAAAATGTTCTAAGCAGGGTAGCTGATTGATTAGACAAATGTAAGGAGCTATGGAATTAATATTTATGTACACAAACCTCAATGTCTCAAAAGATTTAGAAAATATCTGTCTTCTCAAACTTTGTGTGTTATTAAAGCCAACATTAAAAGATATTCATATGGAACAAACAATAAAAGGTAGGCACAAAAGGAAAGGTCAAGTTGTATATCTTCTCTAGTTTATTAGTAATAAACTAACCCCAGGTTGATATTATTCTATAAAAGTTTCTATGCACATATTTACTAAAGCAATAAATTTGGGGCTGGGTATATTCATATGTGACTACTCCTATACAGTTTCCACTAGAGGAGCTATTTTGGAACAGTCATCTAGCAACACATCCACCGATAAATTATAAGATGTATTACCACCTAAAATAAATCTATATATCAGCTCTCCTCTTGGCGACATTTAAAATGAATGTAATAACGAGGACAAAGATGATAACAGATATATGAATAATAAGAGCAGCAAAACATAGTAGACACAGAGCTAAGGTAGGTGCCTATGGCCTCATGAGCCATCTTTTCAAATATTACCTGTACCTCTGCTTTGTGGTATAATTCCACCTCCCTGCCTCAGTTGCTTTCCTCTGAATACACTTCAGTTTTTCTTTGTACTTGAGAAACGGCAACCATAGGAAAGGCTGTTCGCCACACTTTAGGGCCTTGTTGTCACAAATACTGACCCAGTCAACAATTACTCAAAAATATCACATAAGGGTGAATAAATCCCAGATACAGTAAGTGAGAAACAACTTTTAAGATAGTAAAAGACAAAGCCTTGTTTAGTTGGCAAAAAGAAGAAAATGTACCACTGGAAACATGTGAATGAACAGGAGAAAAACAACCGCAGTTATAAAATGAGATAAAATAGGGGTGCCTGGGTGGCTTAGTCGGTTAAGCGTCCGACTTTCGCTTAGGTCATAATCTCGCGGTTCGTGGGTTCGAGCCCCGCGTCGGGCTCTGTGCTGACTGCCAGCTCAGAGCCTGGAGCTTATTTCAGAGTCTGTGACTCCCTCTCTCTCTGACCCTCCCCTGCTCACACTGTCTCTCTCTCTCTCCTAGAAATAAATAAAACATTAAAAAAAATTAAAAAGAAAATAAATAAAATGAGATAAAATAAAAGCTAAAGTGAGAATCAGAAAAAGAGGGAGAAAAGTTATACATCTTTAACAAGGAAAAGAATATAGATGAACTGTTAAGAACTGCTGCCTTCCACGCAGGAAAACTCAAATGAATTAATAATATAGGAAAAACTAAGACTTAGAAATGTTTACTCTAAAAAGTTTAAGATTGACAAAGTTTAATTCATTCCTCTACACTTCCTCAGGTCATGAAATAAAGGAAACTAGATTCACAAAAGCTGTTAGTTGAATTCCCATATGCTAAGATGTTAAGCAAGATAAATAATGCATTTCATAAACCTATAATAAAGTAGAGGAACTATGGAACATATCTGTAATTTACGGTGCTTCCCAAATAAGGCTATTTTGTACTCAATGTATGACAATATCTTTATGTCATGATAAGTTCCCTCAGAATTTCTGATTAGTTGAACAAAGTCCTATGAAGGATAACATTATAAGGGGCAACATCCAAAGGCTAGGACTCCATGCACAGTAGCACTGATTCTCCGCTGTCCAGACCCTGGAGGGGGACAGGTGATGTGCTTCCTCATGACTTGCCTCTTTAGCTGACAAAACAGTAAAGAGAAGTTCTGAAATTATGCAGCTCAAAGAGATTGGTAAGAATCCTGGACTTTTTTGTATTACCTAAGTATACATTAAATTTGTACTTACTACACTATATGCAAATTATTATTCATCATCAAAAGTTAAGTCCTTTCCTTTTATTATAAAATATTATAGTATATTTAAGATAAACATAAATTTCCTTTAAACCATGTATAAAACAAATGAAATATATAATTAATATAAAAATCCCAAAATGGAGCTAACAAAAGAGGCAAAAAGGAGCATTAAATATGGATAAAAAGAAGTGTAAAGGCGACTCCTCACTTCTTTGTACATCTAAATATTTTCCAGAAAATTGTTATCATAATGTTGTTTGGATTGTTTCATATTTTTAAGTGTTATAAAAATAGGGCAATGAAAAGTAATTGCCAGATTTGGACAGATTCCAAATCTTGAATATGTGCAGATTTGCCGCAAGAGTGATAAAAGCAGACAAATTATGAGTTACCAAGTTATTATTATTAATATTAAATATTAAAATTCATTTCACTTAATTTCAGATTGATTCAAAAGGTTACCATTAGTAAGTAGAAGCAACTACTTTAATATTTTCAAAATTTCAAAATTTTCTTATTCTTCACTTAAGTCTAGATGTTTCATTAATTTTGTCTATTTATAACAGGAAAAATAGTGTTTAAGTCCTAATTTTTCCCCTGTTTTATTTCCTTGTGTACACATTTTTAAATTTGTATCTCAAAATTAATCATAAGTGTAGTCAATCCATCCTTCAATCTGAAAGCAAAATTAGTGATTAAAAAAATAAAAATATTTTTATTAAAATCCTATTTCCCAATCTCTACCATTATATAAATTTAAATTACTCTTGCCACAAATCTCACAAATAAAAAAAGAAACTGTTTATACAAGCTGTAAAGAAAATAGATGACAATACAATAGAACATTTGTTATTGTACCTTTCAACACAGTTCATATCAAACATTTCAGGTATGTATAAAAATGAGCCACACAGTTGCTAAGGAGAAACACAACTATGTATGTTTACAAATTCTCTTTTTGTATTTAGTATCAAGTATTATGCTTGCCTCCAACTACAGATAATCCAAAAAGTGTGATAATGATCCAAGAGTGGGATAGGGAGGCTTTCTTAACTATTTTTTTAAAGACAAGATACAACTATTTCTACCAAAAAAAAGCAACTTATTTAAAACACACACACACACACACACACACACACACACACACACATGTTTTTAAATTTAAAGACTGCACCATGCAGGATTATACCATGATTAAACACTTTGGGATGTGTTCCAAACTAATCTACACTGAAGTCTGTGTAATACTTTATCTTAACAATTTACAGATGTTAAGCAACCAAACACAAACTTACATGAAAGATTATTATGATAGAACATGGCTTCCAAAACTCCACGCCATACATCAGAAATATGAAGAACACTGGAAAATTTTATAATTTATTTTTAAAAATTTTCTAAAGTGCTTATTTTTGAGAGAAACAGAGCATGAGTTGGGGAGGGGCACAGAGAGAGGGAGACACAGAATCCAAACAGGCTCCAGGCTCCGAGCCGTCAGCACCAAGCCCTTCCCAGGGCTCAAACCCACAAACTGGGGGATCATGACCTGAGCTTAAGTCGGATGCTTAACCGACTGAGCCACCCAGGCACCCCTGGAAAATTTTATTCAGAACTTTTGCACTACCACCATTTTAAATTCCATCTAAAGAATTCTTAAGAAATACAACAGAGCAGAAGAAATGTGCCTTAGATATATTTACTCTCAATGATATTACTAAGGTGATTATTGATGACAATGAAGTACAGAATACCTATATTAACACAATTGTCTTGTTTATAAAAATCCAGGGCACCTGGGTGGCTCAGTCAGTTAAGCCTCTGACTCTTGGATTCAGGTCAGGTCATGATTTCCTGCTGTGATTTCAGGCCCCACATCCAGCTCTGCACTGATGGCACAGAACCTGCTAGGGATTCTCTGTCTCCCTCTCTCTCTGCATCTCCTCCATTCAATCTCTATCTCTCTCTCTCGAAATAAAAAAAAATAAACATAAAAAAGAGAAAAAAAATCCGTCTGGACTATTTAGTACTATAACATAAGGAATAAATACAAGCATGAAGATTTTTTTACAAAGATAAGATGTGAAATACTGACTTATTTAATACAGCATTCAAAAATAGTTATAGTATCATTTTGAAAAACACGAAAAAGAAAACAGGAGATATTCAGCTTTATTAAAGATGTGCATTTTCTGACTATTTTTACTCATTTTCCTTATTTTCTACATTCAGTAAAGGCACTTATGCTAGCTGAAACTGGGGACAAAATTATTAAGGTGATATTTCAACTTTTTTTGACAATAGTAGAAGAGAGACTTCTCTTTGGTACTTGGTTCAGTGTGTGTGTGTGTGTGTATGTGTTTCTCCCAGTCTTTTGTTATTGCTTTTGTTATTTCATTAGTTTATATTTTTTCTTTTGAAAGTTTTATAAAATACATAAGCAGAGAAATGACCTGATATATCTCAGGTTTTAATAGGGTCCCTCTGGTGGCTGTGTTAAGTTGGGCATAAAATGTAGGGGATTCCATTGTGGAATTTTTGTGAACTGAATTCTAATACTGGTATTTTTATTCTCTTTTGGTTCCTCTTTGACACATACATTGTCCTATTCCTCTAGGTTATCTATTTGTGTAATTTTGTTAAAGATACATTTCTTTTTATATATAGCACAAAACTGAACTATTTTTTTTAATCAGTCCAAAATCCTTGTGTTTTAGTAGCATCCAAACACATACCAATCCTTATTTTATATGTCCAACACCTTATATTATAATATAAGATGTTCCTCTATTCATGGAAAGTAAATGCACACACCTGCACTCTGGATA